CGTCCTCAACACGCTCAAGGCAGACAAGTTTGTGAAGCTACGTATGCGAGTTGAAACAGGGCCTAACGGGAAGAGCACCAGGCACAATTACTATTACATCAATTACAAGGTGCTGGTGGATGTGATAAAATACAAACTGGATCATGTACGCCGGAAAATAGAAGCAGATGAGCGGGATTCGACTACCAGGTCCTCTTTTAAATGTCCATCTTGCTCCAGCACTTATACAGACCTGGAAGTCAATCAGCTCTTTGATGTATTTACAGGTATGTTGCTTATATTGCTTATTTGCTCTTATCTTAAAGAACAACTCTGATAGCACAAAATTGGCTCCTGTGCAGACTCTGCGATAAAAGCACGTTTGTTAGGATGCACTTCTTGTTTGCTGGTGGACAAGGGCCCGGGACAGGAGAAGCTGGGCGGTGTGTGAGGGTAAGAGAAAAAGCTGTCTCTGTAGAACAGGCCCAGCAAGAGGAAGAGTACTCTTGAATATAAGAGTTGGGGTTGGGAATTGGATTCAGGCCTTGGTTTTGCTAGAAACCAGATGCTTAGCCTGGTTTAAGATTACTCACCCAAGTCTTGCAAGTCCCACTTCCTCATATGGAAATTAGAATACAGTACTACTTTTACTCCGTATTGAATTTGTTAGTTAATCCATTTGTGTGTTCAGCTCTTCTGACAGAAGAGTTGGTCAAGATGGATAAAGCTGTTTGCAGCCACCTACTGTAACAAGGGTATTGCAGCTCGGGAGCAAGAGAGGAGGTGTTCTGTCACTCCCATGCTGGAAACAGGGAAGTTCAGGCTCCTCATGGGGCAACACGACACATCCATAGCAGAAGCGGCATCAGAGCTTGTGGGTTTCTCTTCTCTAAAATAAAAATAACTCAATAGAGAGTACTCATTCAAAACGAGTTAAAATGGCATCACGTTGCAACACATTACTCTAAGCAGAGCTGCTGTGTTAACATCTGGGTCATGGTATCCACAAAGGATGCCAGGGCCAGGGATAATGAACTTTACTCTGTGACTAACTTTAAATGTCGAAGGTGAAGTTAGCGTCCTGTCAGTTGACAAAAGTCACCCCTTTGTTCTAAATGGAGGGACTTGGTCAAGTTATTGATGTACAAACATTGAGGCTGGTGATATATTTTGATAGAATATGCTTTAATTTTTTTTGTTGCTTAAAACCTAAATATAGGGTTTTTAGCATATGTTCTGGCTCTAAATGAGTCTTTTTGAACTTTAGAACTCTGAACAACTAAAGCCAGATGGTATTTAAGCTTGCACATGTCTTTTTTCCTTACGTTATGAACTAAGAAAGAGATTACTATCTGATAATACTCCATGTCTAGCCAACTGAACTTTTTCCAATATAGACATTTCAATCTTGCATACAAAGTGTGTGAATCAGTCCTCCTCAAAAAAACCCAACAAACCAACCCAAACCTGGCTTGCTTTAATAACTAGAGTTCTCCTAGTTAATGTGAACAAACGGATTACTAGTCATAACTGCCCAGGCTGTGGCTTTTGTAACAAGGTACTGCTGATCTTTTGCCTCCTACGAACGTGAGAATTTCCAATTTGGATAATGTTGCAGAGACTTTCCGCTGCACTTTCTGCAACACTGAAGTAGAGGAAGATGCCTCAGCACTTCCTAAGCGCGACGCTCGAACCTTGCTAGCAAAATTCAATGAGCAGATTGAACCTATCTTTTTGCTGCTGCGTGAGACTGAAGATATTGTTCTGCCATATGAATTGCTGGAGCCTCAGCCAACAGAAATACCAGAATTATCAGAAAGGTATAAACATAACCCTAGAACTTCTGTTAGTGCAACCCCCACCCCCCCACCCCCCGCACAACAACCTCCCAGTTGTAAAATCCTTGAAATACTGGACTTGCAGCCTACTTTCTATCCCATTCGGCTTTGTTCAGTACTGTCGGCTGCTTAATGAAGAAACCTGTCATATCTCAGGCATGCTAAATTATTCTTATGCATTTATGGTTTTATTTTGCTACCTTTATTTTAAAAAAGTAAATGACTCTCCAGACTTCTCCTCCAGCTAACGTTCATAGCCCTTTATGTGAGAAAGTAATGTTTCTCTGTCAGTGTGCTTCATCCAGAGATGCGCTACTGAAGAGACCACATAAAAATCAGTGGTTCAGAATCGCTTGCCTCTGAGCTGAGGTATTGGGGAATGCAAACTGTTTTAACGCAGAGCACTTATTTTAACTTGTTTTGTCTGCTGACAAAACATGCTTTTTATGTCTCTCTGAATGGGAACTTGGTGAGGGGGGTGGGGTGTCTTGCCTGAATTTAACATGTCCAAAATGGGTGACATTTCACTCAGCTTTGACCAGAAGGTGGGTTCAAGTGTGCTGGAATCCCACAGCCGACCTGAAAGATGGGCCAGCAGAAGTTCCTCTTTTGGCAATATGTACACCCAAAACTTAGTTATTGATGTCGATGACTCTGAGCCCAAGAAGAAAACAAGAGAAAAAGCAACTAAAGAGCAACCTGTCTGGATGTCACAGAGCACCGTGGAAGGAGCAACAACAGCCACTGACAACAGTGTTGGTAAGCATTGGCAAATACTTAAATTCAGCAGCCTTATTACACTGAAATACAGCTTTCCTATTGAAAATGTCGTGAGCTTGGTTTAGAAGAGAGAGTAATGCTCCAATTCTGCACCAGGGGCTATTAGACCTTAGTTTCTAAAAACTAGTCTTCAGACTGACTTAGGTAGTATTCCTAAAGCCAGAGGTCAGGTACAGGGTCCTGAAATTTTTGGCTCTAACTGTGCAGTAACATTAGTGCTAATCTTTAAAGTGGAAAGCTCCTGGAAGTGCCTGCACTTCCAAAAGAATTCTAAAGTGTGGGTAAAAAAGATCCAGAGCAGAAAAAAATAATTTATGTAGGATGCCTGTGATAATTGTAAGCTATTGATACCTCTAACACTTAGTATTGTGTATTAGGAGTAAATGCTTCTGAAGAAACTGAAGAAAGTGTTAAAGAAACAGTCACTGATAATGAAATCATCAAGACTCTTCTGATCCATGAATCCAAGTCATCGTCTAGCACAGACCAGGATCCTGTTGTCAAAAGCAAGCTACCTGAATCAGGCAGTGATACTAGTGAGTCTGAAGATGACACCAA